ACACGGGCAATTGTACGTAGCACGCTCTCGAGTGGGTAAACCATCCAGTTGTTTGTGCTCGCTAAAGATGGGCTAACAAAAAATATTGTTCACGCTATACCATTAAGAGATTGATTTTGTTTGTTAGGGTTACTATCATAATTAATAATGTGATATGTAATTTTAAGTAATAAACTATAATAACTTCAAAATGTAAATTGTAAGTAAGGAACTTTTTGTCTACACTAGAATTTATCTAGAAACTAGAAATAATTTATAAGACAAAACAGCGTTTGCCGGGTCAGCTAGTAATAAAAAAGAACAAGAGGAGAAAGAAAAAAATTAAAGAAATTGAAAAAAAAACAAAATCAAGAAGAAAACAAAATGAAAAGAAAGGCCATACCGAAAGCTAAACGAAGTAGGCCTACACTAAGCTTTTTAAAACACAAGAAAAAAAAAACAGTTTTGATTGTATATCAGAAAACAGTGATGATGTTGATTTGCAAGATATTGTAGAATAAAATGAAAGATATTTAGATAGCGAGAAGAAATTTGAAATGTTCTGTAATAATATTGATCAGCAGACCTGTGGAAATTTTCAGCAACTAGGCCTAAACCAAATTGTCAAAAGTTGGTGAATATGTAATCTGTAGGTATGAAGAAGAGTATTTTTCTAGAAAAAATCTTAAGTCTTACAGATGACCAATTTGAAATTTCATCAGATACAGAAACCTTTAAAGTCTTGGAAGTGGCCAGATAAAGCAGATATTGGAAAATGCGATTGGGATGACGTTATTGGTACAATTGGAGAACGAAAAATTATTTCTAAAAGAGGGTTTTTTCATGTAAAAGAATTGCAGCATTTGGGGAAATTATGAGGTTATAAACGCTTATTTTTACTTATATAACGCTTATATACCGCTTTTACTAATCTTATTTTTCAATTTGCAGTTTCTGTTTCATGAAGAATTTTGTTTAGAAATATATTAAGATATTAGTCTTGATTTCTCTTGATAATGATGAAAGAAATGAACACAACTCAAAAAGATATGAAACAAGAACAGAAGGAAATAAAAACTGAAATAAGAGAAATTAAAAACCATCAAAACAAAACAAACGAACGAAGCTCTACTAAAACTGACAGTAGAAAACGAATAATTAAAAAAAGAAAATCAGGATATAAGAAAAGAGAATTCAGAAATAAAGAGAGAGTTACAAGAAATGAAAAAAGCAGTCGAAATAATCAAAAAAACCAGAAGAAAAAACAACATTGTAATGAATGGTCTAAAAATGGATAAAAATGAAAGTAGGAGAGAAAGTAGTATTCATCAATGATGACTTGACTGGAGAAGAGAAAGAAAAGCAGAAACACCTAAGAAATTTTGCAAAAAACGAAAAAGACAAAGACGTCAAAATTGATTACAACAAGGTGTTAGTAAACCAAGAAGAATGGAGATGGAACAAAATAAAAAAGGAACTGGAAAAACATCCATCCGTTAAAAAACTAGAAAACTACACCCAGAAGAGGAATATTTATAACAACCAAAGTAACGAAAAGGATCTGACAATGACGACCAGGGCGACGAATAGGAACAACGATAGGAAAAAGACGATGCAAAGGTAAACAAGGATGAAAATAGGAAGAAGATGAAAGATATACCGCAGAAAAAAGGAGAGATAAAAATGGAAAAGAGGTAGAACTTGTAGAAGAAATGATCAGACAACAAATAGAAATATTTGGAATAACGGAAACGAAAATGAAAGGAAGAGGTTTTAAGAAGATACACAAAGGATAGTGGTTATTTTGGGTAGGAGCTGATGCAAAGGAGAGAGCAAAAGAAGGCGTAGGGATAATAATTGCACCGAATAAACTACAATACATTACAAAAGAAACATATGTTAACCAGAGAATATTATCGCTGAAAATGAAACTGACAGACGAGGAAATATGGACAATAATAACAGTCTATGGAGTAAATGAAGATGCAAAAACGGAAGAGAAGGATAAATTTTTCGAGGAGCTCCAAATGCAAATTGACAATAGGGAAGAAAATATAATTGTAATGGGAGATCTAAACGGTAGAGTCGGAAATAATAACAATGGAATTGAGGAATGCATGGAAAAAGAAGGAGAAGAAATACTAAACAAAAATGGTGAAAGAATAATATAAATATGTATGAAGAATAAACTTGTTATAAGAAATACAAAATTTAAACATAAAAAAATACACAAATACACGGGAGTACAAGAAAGCAGAAATGAAAAATCAATCATAGATTACTTTTGGGTAAGTAGCAACAAATGGAAAAGAGTACAAGACACGAAAGTGAAAAGAGGCTCAGAGATTGGCAGTGATCATCATCTAGTAATAATGAGAATGAGAACAGCAAAAGAAAAAGAAGAAAAGAGGAGAAAAGTAGTAAATGAAAAAGTAAAAAGCTACAAATTAAAAAATCAAATTAAAAGAAGAAAGATATAAGAAGATATTCCAAGAAAAATTAGACAATATTTTGAAAGGTAGGCAAAAACTACAAGTATAGAAGAAAAGTAAGAAAATCTCAAAACCAACTTAATCATGGCTGCTGAGGAATCTTGCGGGAAGACAAAAATAGCAAATACTAGCATGAGGAGAACTGAATGGTGGACGGACGAAATACGAAGGAAAATAAAGAACAAAAAAGAAAAATGGAAGAGATATCTAAGTACAAAGCGCTCTGAAGATTATGAGGCATATAAAGAAAAAAGAAAAGAGGTTAAAATAGCTGTGAAAGCAGAAAAAGAAAGGTCATGGGAAAAGTTTGGACTAAAAATGAAAAATAATTAAAGGGAAAATCAAAAACTCTTCTATGGCGCATTAAAACAGCTCAGACAAACGAAAGAACACATGATGCCGAATATAAAAGACAAGAATGGAAAGGTAATAGCAGAAGAAAACCAAATAATGGAAAGATTGAGAGAACATTTCAAAGAGCTAACTCATACAGACGTAGACAACATAGTGGAGATACAAGAAATAATTGAAGAACAAAAAGTAGAACCCATAACAACAGAGGAACTAGAAAAGTCAATTAAAATAGTTAAATTAGGCAAAGCACCAGGCAAGGATCATATCACCTCGGAAATTATAAAATTCATGGGAATAGAGGTAGTGGACAGCATGAAAGAACTAATGAATTATATCATAAAGAGAGCAGAAATACCACTGGACTGAAAGAAAGATATTATACTACCAATACACAAAAAGGGCGACAAGAGAAACTTTAATAAGTACCGAGGTATTACTATATCAAGTATTCCTGGGAAGGTATTAGCAAGAATAATAGAAACAAGAATAAAAACCCAAATAGAACCAACTATGGAAGATACACAATGTGGATTCAGGAAGGACAGAAGCACGCAAGACCACATATTCACAATAAGACAAGTAAGTGAGAAAGTAATCAATAAAAATAGAGAAATACATATATGCTTTATTGATCTGAAAAAGGCGTTTGACAGAATCCAAAGAAAGGACGTATGGAGGATATTTAAGGAAAGAGGAGTTGACAGGATAACAATTAATGTAATAATATGTACAATAATAATACAAATACGGTGAGAACCAATAACGAGGAATCCGAAGAATTTACTACAAGTCAAGGCGTCAAACAGGGATGCGTGTTGAGCCCACTGCTGTTCTCAGTGGTACTGGATGACGCAATAAAGAAAGCCAAGAGAAGAATAAGAAAACTATCATTAGGATACTGGCAAATGAAACAGACTCAACTATCAGAGCTTCTATTTGCAGACGACATGGTTTTGATAGCAGAAAACAGAGAAGACCTACAGAACAACCTTGAAACCCTAGAAGAAGAACTGTCAAACATAAATATGAAGATAAATACAGAGAAAACAAAAACAATAATAATTTCAAATAAGAGAAAGACACGCAATACAATTAAAAGGAAAACAACTAGAACAAGTGGAACATTTTAAATACCTAGGAGTAATAATTGAATCAAACGGTAAACAAGATATGGAAATAAATGAGAGAATGGGACGAACAGGAAGCTTATTTAAGACTATGAAAACAACATTTTTGGGAAAAATACAAATACCGGAGAAGGTAAAAACGGCAGTCGTTAAATCAGTAGTTAGACCTACAATCATGTATAATAGCGAGTCATGGACATTGACTGAGAGACAAAAATCTCGAGTCAATGCTATGGAAATGAGGTTTCTGAGGAAAATAGCAAACAGAAAGAGGACAGACAAAATAAGAAACGAAATAATCAGACAAAACCTAAAACTAGAACCAATAAACGAAAAAATAGTAGAGGGGCAACTAAGATGGTTCGGGCACGTGTGTAGAATGTCGAATGAAAGATTAACAAAACGAGTGTTTGAAACGAGAGTGCAAGGGGAAAACAAACGAGGAAGACCAAGAGTTAGGTGGGTAGACGAAATCAGAAAAGAAGTTGAGAAGAAAGGATTGACATGGGAAAGTGCACGAAATCTAACACAAGACCGGAAAGCATGAAGACAACAGTGCAAAACTTAACTCCACCAGCCTTACACCTAACGGTAGAAAGACTTAGAACTAAGTAAAAAAAGTAAGTAAAAACGGATTGGGTAACGACGCAGCAAACACTGATTTTGATGATATTTAAAGCTCGGATGGATTATGTAGTGACCAAGAATAACCTTATTCCGGTTGGAAGCAGTTTATTCCTTTATTATTTTATCTAACAATATAGCACGGAAACGGATTAAATTAAAAAATACTGGGTATAGCGACTGATCTGTATATATATTGGAGAGTTCGGCGAGTCTCGGAAGAGTTTTAAATTTTGTACCGTTGTGGATCGCATTTTGCTTAGGTGTATCCTCTACGACTGAAATTGAATGACACCAGACGGTGTCATTCAACATTTGATACCGGTGATATTCTACATTTTTCTTTGATAATTATCTGTTTTCGGACAAATAAAATAAACAAGGCAAGTATTACGAACTTATAAAAACTAAAATAAATACAAACCTCCTTTTTCTCGAAATCGTCTTTCTATATCCTTGAATTGCGAATAAACTGTTATATATTTTGCTGTTAGTTCGTAACAGTTGAATGTCATTAGGTTTAATACTTTTAAAATAATTTTGCTTTCGAAAAAGTTAACAGGTTCACCTAAAAAATTTAAAAATATACACAAAGTTTATTACTATTAGGAAGTTCGCGTAGCAAAAAAGCATTTTCAAATCAGATGTTACATCCAATCATTAAATTATAATAGTTTTATTAATATGTCGGTATCTATCAAAGGTACCTCCATATTTGAACATCCCCTGGAAATAAAAACTTAAATTTTGTAAATTCACCGTTTACTAGTGCTTCAATTTTGTTTTTGATTGTTGTAATCCTCCAGTTACATTCTAAGGAGTAACATCCTCCAGTTGAATTATATCAAAGGCTTTCTTTAAGTATATGAAACACAGTAATGATGGTCTATTATATAGTCTATAAATTTTTCTTAAAAAATTATACGTGCAACTGCAGAATAGTAAATGGATATTCTAACTGGCATCCGCGAAATAAAAATTCCAAAAAAAAGAAACGATGTTAATCTAAAACAAACTGCACAACCAGAAAAGTCTCTTAATAGTAAAAGAGCATAAAGTCTTACCCACCTCTGTCAAGTCGTTTATTCTTAAAGATGAAACAAAATCTCTCGGGCAAGTCGATTTTTAAGCTTTGTATAATATCTAATGGTATCAAAGTTTTGGTATTTCGATGAATCCCCGTCAGGTGAAAGTCACAGCCTCAATTTTTTTTTAAATAGCAATGAGGGTCATTTAGAAGATTATCAAAATCTGATTCCAAAAATATATTACACAATATTTTCTACTTATTTATTAAATAATTAACACTAATCTGTTTTTTGTTTCATCTCCACTAACGATAATCAACCTTTAAAAAGAATAGGGGCCATTTTTACTTATGCCACTTTACTTTATGTACTTAGACTACTTATTTGTTTATTAAAATAAAAAACTATCAAAAAATAAAACGATTGTCAAAAACCTATTATATTACTTGTGTTTTAATAGTGTTCTGAAGCCATTTTCTTATTTTAAACTTAAGTTTTGGCTTATTCCCAACAAAAATAGTTTTAAGATGTAGTTATGGTTTTATAAATGGTTCATGTTCGGAATTTAGTTGACAAATGTATAACAATTAGTATTTTTAGAGGGGTTGACCATAACTATCACGTAGCCGTAATAATTTTGAATCAACGATTTCCTTACCGTCAAATTAATACATTACTTTAGATCCACTATTTGTAAAAAGACTTTTATGAAAAAGTTGTTTCAGTTAAATTGGCCGAAACTTTGCAGATAGGTAAAGATAATTCATAATGTCGTGGACCTGACGTCATTATTTAGTGACGTCGATCTACGGATGAAACAACGAAATCAGGCATTGCTAAAAACATTGAGTTCTCTTCGGTGCGTTATCTTAGCGAGACAGAGACGAACTAGTTTTTTGCGTTAGTGAAATAGCTTTAATATTTTTGTATTTTTGTGATCAATCGTTTTTAATATTTTATAGCGAGATACTATTTATGTTCAGTGCGTTTCAAGTCGTTTTTAACATTTTACAGTGAGATCCTAAAAATGTAAGTTAAATTATGTTTATTTTAAAATAATTTATATGTTTTGTACACTTATGAAAAATTAATGAATTAAAAAAAATCACTTTTAAAAGTGTGTAAAATCTGATAACTTTATTGTTTATTTTAATATTTTTTGCAAAAGATTGATATGTATTGTAAAAGCTTGTCATAAATTAATAAATTAAAATGAAAAGTGTTTTAAAAGTGTGTAAAGCATTTAGTTTCTAGAATGTATAAAGCCAAAGGATCTTAGCTAGAAATTAAATGCTTTACAAACTTTTAAAGTACTTTTCTTTTCAATTCAATTTTTTTAATGTTTTTCTTAAACTTAAACAATATTTAACATTTTACCTATTATCTAAAACCTACCGGTTTTACAGGGAAAGTAACAATAGAAAAGTGATCCATAGATAAGGGAGGCAAATTATTTTTAACGTTTATTCATTTATGAAACGGGAAAAAGATTTGGGATATTGCACAACTCCTTTACCCCTAATAGTGCGAGTGGCTCAAGCAACTGGTACCTCAGAAAGTACGGTAAAAAGGATAACTACGGAAGGTAAAAACAAACCAGCAACTTCACAATTTGTATCACCCAGAACAAGTATTTGCAAGCCCCAAGTCATCAGTCAATCCATTTGAGGAACACGTCATAAGAAATACCATTTACACGTTTGCTACCATCTACAAAAGAAGACCTACCATGAAAACTGTTTACGAATCTGTTAGAAACGAAGGAATTGTAACTGGTAAACTATCTTCTTTCAGAAAAATTGTGAAAAAATTAGGATTTAGGTGGAGAAAAGTGGAAGACAATAGAAAAATTTTAATTGAAAAAACTGACATAAGAGCCAAATAAACAGAATTTCTAAGAAAACTAAAAAAATACAAATCTGAAAGTAAGATATTTATTTATTTACATTAGAACTAATTTTAAAGTAATTCACAATTTTTTTTAGATAGAAATATTGTGTATAGTGACGAAACTTATATACATAGTTCCCACACAGTTCCAAAAGGTTGGGATGATGGACGAAACAAGTACATAACATCTCCGGTATCTAAAGGGCAACGACTGATCATCTTACATTGTGGTGGTTAAAATGGATTTGTCGAAAATGCCGCTTTCATTTTCAAATCCGGACAAAAAACTGGTGATTATCATGATGACATGAATCACCAGAATTATATGAAGTGGTTAAAAGACAAACTTCTTCCCAATTTACCTTCCAAGTCAGTTTTAGTAATAGACAACGCCTCATATCATAATGTGACTCTTGAAAAATCTTGTACATCGGCTTCGAAAAAAAAAAAAATCATAAAAAAATGGTTGACAGAAAGAAATATATTTTTCGATGAAAGCGAAACAAAACAAGCTCTACAGTAAGATACTCATTGCTAAACCTAAAAGCCCAGTATATGCTGTAGACCAATTATTAGCACAGCACGGCCACTCAGTTTTACGTTTACCACCATATCATCCGAAACTTAACCCAATTGAAAAGATATGGGCCATTTTAAAAAATGAAGTTGCAGCAAGAAACACGACTTTTAAATTAGCAGATGTTTTAGAACTAGCAAAAATTAGGCTAAATGAAATCACGCCAGAAATATGGGCAAATACTTGCAGGCATGTTGATAAAGTAGAAGAAGAGTACTTCAGCCGAGAATACATTCTGGATGAAGCGCATGAGATCATTATAAATTTAGATGATAATAGCGAATCATCTGAAACAGAACTCTCTGATAGCGACGACGACGACGGCTACAACAATGACCTATGAATACAAACTTATCAAGGTGGCAAGCTCGGTATTCCGTCCCTCCATGTATATTTTTTAGTTCTTTTAACATTTTATTCATTATTTCATTTCTTATTTAGTTTTAATTAACGTGTATGTGTGTGTGTGTGTCTTATCGTGCGTAACCTAACACTCCGTCTCCATGTAGATGCCGCATTAATATTCTTAAATACTTAGAGACTATTCCGGTTGCACAGTCAAATTGAGTATATGATATCAGTACCATCTAGAGAGTGTCATATAACCCCATAAAAGTAAAGAGTTTATCACCCTCCATCCAAGTGCAAGAACGAAATTCCAGTTTTCAGTCCAGCGCGCTGAAGAAAGAAGAAGAGAGATATAACCTTCATTATTGAAGGTAGTGTACATTTAATTTAAATACGCAGACAATTTAATTACACAGATTTTGGATCATTCTCAATAAAAAAGGTTAATTGTAATTTTTCTCTAAAGTTGATCGTTTTCAACTTAAACAATTTAAAACTGACAACAAAAACTAAAAATCATGATTTTTGAGGCTCTAAAACACAATTATTTTTGAATTCACCAAACCTTGTTTTATCAGTTCCTGATACTTTAGTTTGGGCTTATTTGATTTTAAAACATTGTTTTTAGTTGTTTGAGGCCCTTATCCCAATGTAAAAATGAATTTATATAAAACTATTCAATAAATTAGGACCACTTTTTATATGGGCGACATCTTGAACATTATTCTGCAGTTTTTATGAAAGTGATTATGCAAAAAATTTCATGCGGCAAAAAATCTCATGCGAATATTTTTCCCAAGGAATTTGTTGTTTTCGTCTCGTATATAAACATATTTTGCTGAATTTAAATCCAAAATCCTATTATTTTTCTGTCATACATTTATTTGTTATTTATTTATTTGTGCTCTAGATTTTTTTCAATTCTTAAAAGGTTTATTTACAAGCCAAATTAGTGCAATGTAAATATTTTACATGTTTACACAGCAATTCTTATCGGCTGTGAAGATGGGAAGTCGTAAATATTTATAGCTAAAATAAAAATACGATGACTAACTGGAATGTTTAAGATTAGAGAAACATAATATGTCATGTTTATTGGAAATAGTCGACATTATTAGCACGTGCAAATACTACTCTGTCGCCCAATTTCTTATGAAATTAAAATGGTGCATGTTTTTAGGATCCATTTATTTTTTCGGGCATGCGTATTTACGAGGTCCACGAGATTCTGAAACATCTTTAGTTTCGGTCATACTGATCAAAAGCTCTCATTGCACCAAGACTTATAATAAATAAATTTTTTCTGAGTTACAGAGGTTTAACGTGTCGGTGTTTAGTCAGTGTGACCATATATTTTTTAGAGAATCTACCAACAGGTCGAAAATCTACTAACAACTACCAAATAATACTACGCATGCGCTATTGCAAAAAATGGCTATGTCTGACGTGAGAACTAACAGTAGCGCCCTCTATTACAAATACGTGATTTCAATGTTAAATATTTATATCTTCGATATCTCCCTAAATAAGATGCATGTCCATATGCTCTTCATTTTCTTGCGCCCCTATAAGAGTTCGGAAATAGGTTTTCCAGACTCATTTTATTAATTTTGGATCACTGGTTATTTCATCTTGATTTATGCATAGATTTGTTCGGGTTTTATATATATATATATATATATATATATATATATATATATATATATATATATATATCTTCTCTTAAATAGCGTAAATATTTATATGCTTCTCTTACACCGTTGCTTTGAAAATGGTCTTAAATTTTCTATATAGTTTTCGTATTTTCTTCCCTCTGTTCGGCATATTTTGTCGGCCCTCCGCCTTGCATCTTCGTAGATTGTTCTTCTTTCCATAAATTTCTTGTGTCTTTGATTTCTTTTCTGTGTAGCCTCTTTACACTCGTCATTGAGCCATTCTCTTTTTGTTTTTTTTTTTTCGCAACCAGAAAGATCATAGGCGGCACTGGAAGTAAAAAAGCTGCGCTGAGTGAGAAACATAAAATTATGGAGAAGAACTAGGCTTCGAAAAACTTTTATACGAGCACCAGGAAAAGTTTTGTTATAGTAATCAGTAACCTCAATTCATGGAGACAATGAAAAATATTGTGTTTACATCTCAGTTCATTTTAAATTCCTTTGGAAATTCATTTTAGCGGAAAAGGTTTTTAAAAGCGGAAAAACACGTTTTTAGAAGACAAATATCAAATAAGTAACAAATACAATCGGGGAAACAAACATAAAGATACAAAAGAGCGGAAAACATATTAAAGGATATCTTGAGTAAATGCAAAAAATAGAAGTATGATAGTACTTCTAGTATAGTATAGTATGATAGTACTCTAGTACTGCTAGTATATAGCAGTCCAGGAACTGGACCTTCCTTAATGTTGGTGTGAAAATGACTGCTTAACAATTTTGCCAATATATAATTATTTTCTATATTTTTTGATAAGGAATAGCGGCGAATTTTAAGTAGATAATATACAAGTCAAAAAGACTGAATGTTAAGTGAGAGCGCCCACCAAACTGGCATGGTAAGTAGCAAGTATCACGCGTCTATAGTGTATTTTTATGTATGAGAGAGTAATAAAACAATAAATTATATATGCAAATCCCTAAACCGTTGATACGGGTGACTCAATGAAAAACAGATATTTGTCAACAAGTTTACAAAAGTATAAAGGAAAACAATTTTAAATTGAGTATGACCACCAGGTATAAAGGTTGGAGCAGAATAGAATACAATACTTGTGAGGGTTACTAATCCCTAAATAAGGTTGCCAGTGTCGGAGTGATGGAGGTTAACAGGTACTAATGAATTTGCAAGAAATGTAAGATGTTTATTTTATTGGTTATATATAACGAATAAAAGTTTAATAAGTACCTACCCATTTGCAAAATAAAGTTTAATTCTTTAGATAAAATAAAACGTTTTATTTTATCTGAAATGAGTGCATTCCACGAAGTAAGGGTTTCAACAATCAAACATTTAATTTTAAATTCCAGGAATCTACGACAGTAATTGACTAGATAATTACCTTCTAAACTTATTCCACAGAAAATGTGATAGTGGGTTTTTCCATTTTGTAGGAAGGTCCAAGTGGCGTATTCAAAATTCTTAACAGTTCGCTAAAAGTAGGTACTTCAGTTGCAAGGTGCAGTTTATTGTGTATACTAGTGTTATGGAAAATTTGGAAGTGCCGTGTAAACGCCGAAAAATTGGTCCTTTAACAGTTAATGAAAAAACATTAATATTTAATTATTTGAAATCATTTACAGACAAACGTTTATGTGAAAGTGTTGATGAGACCGTTGAGGTAGTTAGCAGTACACTTGGTGTTGGGAAATCTACGATTTACAGAGTTATTAAAGAAGAGAAATGTGGTAGTTTTCAAATGCCACGCAATGCTCCAGGGAAACCAAAATTTCAAATAGAATATCATTTTAAAGAAGGACTTCGACGGAAAGTGCATGAATTCTTCTTTACACAAGAATTTCCAACATTGTATAAAGTTCTTGTCTCAGTTCGAGATGATAAGGATTACCCAGAAATGAGTCGAAGTACGTTATGGAAACTTAAAAAAAAATAGGCTTCCGCTGGAAAAAGAATCCCAGAAAGTCTATTTTATTAGAAAGAAGCGATATTGTCATATGGAGAAGACATTTTCTAAGAACCATAAAGGAAATGAAAAACCAAAAAAGAAAAATATTTTATCTTGATGAAACATGGATCAACGAGGGTCATACACCAAATAAATTTTGGCAGGATGAAACTGTTACAAATCAAAGGCACGCTTTTGTAAATAACTTATCTACTGGTTTAAACCCACCATCAGGAAAGGGACGCAGGCTGATAATAGTACACATTGGCAGTTCAGACGGTTTTGTCGAAGGTGGTTTATTAACTTTTGAATCAACTCGTACCGGTGACTACCATGAAGACATGAACGCTGATGCCTTTCAAGAATGGTTCGAACAAATGATAGATTTTCTTCCTAAGAACTGTGTAATAGTAATGGATAATGCAAGTTATCACTCCAGACTTATAGAAGGACTGCCCACAACCAAGTGGTTAAAAAAAGACTTGCAGAATTGGCTGAGTTCAAAAAATATTACGTACCATCCCGGATCTATAAGAAAGGAACTTTATTCGTTGTGTGCCCTTCATAAAGAAAAATTTAAAAAATACGAAATTGATGAAATTGACAAAAATCCTGGAATGACAGTACTTAGATCCCCACCATATCGATACATTTTTGGTAAAGTAACGTAAGTCACAAAAACAATTTTTAGAAAAAACAATTTTTTAATTCAACCTGGTTAAACTTATTTAAATTATGACTAAAAAAAACTTGTCCTACTTGTCCTAAAAAAGGTTTAAAGTAATTCTAGGCTTACTACACTTTTTCAATACCTTTTTAATAGTAATTGCATTAGTTTAATTGAAAAACATTATTTTCGCCAAAAATGTCACTTACGTTACTTTGCCAAAAATGTATCGATATCATTGTGAATTAAACCCGATTGAACTGGTATGGGCACAGATAAAGAGTGAAGTTTCAAGAAAAAATACCACTTTTAAAATTCATGATGTTAAACAGTTGTTTTTGGAGGCCGTAAATAATGTAAAACCTGAAAACTGAGAAAAGGCAATAAATCATACTATTAAAGAAGAGGAAAAAATGTGGAAGCTGGACAATATTACTGATAAAATGATCGAGCCAGTTATTATAAATCTTGGTTCTGAAAGTTCATCTTCTGAATCTGATTTGGATTTGTAACAAGTAGCTGTAAGTTTTATATTAATATTTTTATTCATATATTTAACATACCTTAGACGGTTTTAAAAACTCTTTTTCTCTTTTGTAATTTTTAAAAATTTAAAAAAATGTGAATTTTTTAAAACCCTTAATGTAGGCCAGTCAGTTCTAATATAGTGTGTGATAAAAGAGGTCACTTTTGTTTACATACACATAACACTTGATAACACTGAAATAATTCATTTATTTTTTACAATTATTCAAAGTAATTTTTCAATTAATCTTGAGCACGCCCATGGAGTGGTCGGAGCTACCAGTTAAAATTATGCTAATTACTCTCTCGTTCATAAAAATAAACTATAGCATGTTACTTAAAATGTAACCAAGCAAACTAATGATTAGAATGAATAACGTCACTGTCATTTTGGTGTGCGCTGAATAATTCGTTTTCATTGGTTACATTTTAAGTAACATGCTAGACGCGTGCTACTTGCTACTTGCCATGCCAGTTTGGTGAGCGCTCCCCCTTAATGTGTGAGGTAACAATTTTGCAAACCTTTTTGACAACACCAACTTACCTTTTCCACCTATATCACTGTTTTCATCTAAACACCTCTCAACAGTCCGATGTATGATTTCAATTACTAACTTATATAACTGAGGCAAACATTCACACCTGAAAATAATGAATAATTTATAATAACGTACAAAATAATGTGCACTATAAACCTTACTCTTTTATGTCTTGGTGATGTATAAAATACGATGATTTGTATGTGTTGTATATAAAAGACAATATATTGAAACAAATCTCTGAAGGCACATTTCTCTTTTTACTTAGACATCGGTCAAATATCAGGACAAAGATATAAAAACGACAAGCATCTAAAAATAAAAAAATATTGTTAGCAAAGGTAATATACAAAGAAATTAATGAGCGCTTTCGAACTGAACTGGATCAATATATGCACCATGGTGGTAGGCAAGCAGCCAGGGGAGCTCTAGGCACTAAAGTGAACTTAATGCTAGTGTAGGAATACTGAGAGGAACTCTCCAGACTGGCGGAAAATAACAATGTCAGACTGATACGGTTTCAGGTCGGGGAAAATTAGACAATAAAATAGTTGATGAACGTTCCAGAAAAGCTTCAGTTACAAAAATCGTCGGCCCCGACCCGGTTGTGGGGGAGCCAAAAACAATTTCCGGTCCAGACTGGAAAAAGCCGGGATCCGAAAGCAATAATACTCTCACTGGGAAAACATACCCGGTCAAACATGTAACAAAATATAAACTGCGAGCCATAAGTTAGGGATATGGCTAAAAATTAAATAAACAATAATACAACAATTATACAACTGCATAAATCAATTAAATCACTTGTCTACATCAACAATTAACAACACTAGTTTTTTGTTTTTTTGTTTCAAAGAAATAAATAATTAAATTAAATTTATAAGTTGTTTATAGTTTATTATGCCGGGAAACGAAGCCGAAAAATTACTTGAAACAATTTAATATCTGGGGGAAGTCAGTAGAAAAAGCGTACTACATCGTCGCCATCAAAATTTTTACGGCGCCATGGTTTTTATTAAAATTTAAGCAAAAAAGTGACTTTTTTCATTAATTTCAATATTGTAGGAAAACTACCCGTGGTAAATAAAAACGTTCAACAGACAACTTTCTTGACAACACTTGTTTAAAATGAGATTTTCTAAATTAAAAATGCTTTTAAATAAAAAAAGTTATTGCAAATTAAACCCGAAAGTAAGCATTTTTTTTTCAATTGTGTATTACGTTTTTATGTAGTTACTATATTTGTGAAAAATGGGACCAAATCGATCAAGTAGTTTTTAAACAATTCTATTTGTTTATCCCATTTTAGAGAAAAAGAGGTCATTTTCAAATTGCTGAAGAGGTGCATTTTTAATATTTGGAATGGTTTTTTGACTTAATTCGGGTGGTTATGTGCTAATAAGGCGTACTAGAAAACAAGTAGGTATCAGCTCAGAGTCATCCAAGGTTGCCTTACTGGAAATTTGACAGTCAAGGAATACCTGTATACCAAAGGACTGTTTCATGGAAACTTAAGCTGCAGACTCTGTAATAGAGGACATTAGTCATAGATGTCATTAGATCGCCAGCAAACACTTTTAGAAGACTACCGAGACACTCCAAAAACATGGTACTATCCTCTAAACTTGTATCAGTCGGTACAAAATCCTAGAATGGGTATCATAAGTGCATGTAAGATATATAATGAGCCAACTAGCTGCAGTACGATCGATTTACAACAGACGACTTCCCGTCTGGAATAAATGGATGAAATACATACTTCTAATACAAGTGTATTCACCTGACTCCTTTTGGAGTGTACGAATACTTCTGGAACTGGATCCTTTGGAAGAACTTTATGAAGATTTGACATTTCTGCAGTCTGTTTTATCTCATCGCAATGCCTTCTCCAATATTTTCCTTGCGCTTCATTCTCAGTTCCTTATTATATTATACATACAGAATTGGAGACTATTGCAAAAATATTAACAAACGACCTAGCTACCCTCGAATGATATTTCCGTCACTGGAGATTACAACCCAACGCTGTCAAGATTGAACTCTTATTTTATTTAAACAGCAGACTAGCCAACTACCAGTTAAAAATCCACTTTGAAAACAAACTCCTCAATCATACTAAACACCCAAAATATCTAGGTGTGACACTTGATAGAACGCTAAGCTTTAAAGAACATCTTACAAAGACAACTACACAATTTAGAAAACGAAATTCTGCAAAATTATTACCACATGGAGTTTCTCAGCGTCTACACTTAGATCGACATCACCAAGACTCGTGTATCCCATTGCGGAGTATTGTGCACCGTGTGGCTCAAGAGCCCGCACACCAAACGTATTGACGCCCAACTAAACCAGGCTTAACGTATTATATCGGGCACAATAAAGTCCACACCAACATACTGGCTACCAGCACTAAGCCACATAGCCCCTTCACACGCCCGAAAATATGCCCTTGTCAGGAAGTATAGAACAATTAACACCGATCCTGTACTCCACTCCCATGTTGTGATCACATGCAGAGACACAAGTAGGCTTTGTTCAAGAAACAACCTTCTAGATTCTGCAAGAAGTCTAATTGAAAGGAATTTTAAGATAACCGACCGTCTGCGAGAAGAAGAATGCACTGCCTGACACCCTAAATACGCCAAGAAAGCTAGAGCGTTTCGACCAACCCAAGACGAATCTGGGCCACACTGAACAGAATCAGAACAAACTGTGGAGGGTGCTCCGACTCACTTTTTAGGTGGGGCAAATACCCTCTCCAAACTGCGATTGTGATGCTGCAAGACAAACAGTTAAACATATCATAGAGTAATGCCCGATCAAATCCTACCCTTTCGGTCCATCCAATTTCTTAGTTGCGACCAAAGAGTCAGTTGAATATATTTTTCAACTAAACGTTTGTTTATAAAAATTAATCATTGTTATTTACTCTTTGTAATGCACCCTATCAAATGCAAATTATCATCTTCCCTTATACACAAAACTTAACTGTAATGTAGCCATACGCTAAATAAATAAATAAATAGGACAACTAAAAAGAATTTTAAAGAGTACAAAAGTAAACAAGAATTAAACTGGCATTGTGCAGGAAATTACATTAGATATGAAGATGAAAGTTAGAATAATGCAATATAGTGCAGACCTTGGAAAACAGGAGAGGTTAAAGAAGACTGGAAACTGGAACATGGAGGAAATTAGGGTAGGTTATGTCCAATTTTAGGTGAATATTGTCCACCTAATAAATATATTTATGGTTATGACACAATGCTCACCTACCTTTATTAAAATATATAACTTTCTTATTTTTAGTAATACCATCGTTCTTTGCCTTATTCAATAAAAATTGAACAAAATACGTGTATCTTGAAGCCTCCCTTAATAAATAAGTCAGCTGGAATGCTGTTTCTAGAGACGGTCGTAAAAAAATAAGTTCCTTGGTACTAAGACATATAAGATTTTCCCTAAAAGATAATTATTATTTCTTCATTATTTATTAATTACATAATATGCCATAACTTACAAATTTTCGTAGCCTTTAAGCTTGCAGATATTTGTTAAAAGGTATATTGTTGATTTTAGGAATGAGGACATCACATTGGTTTTCCTCTAAAAATCAGTTTTGAATTAGCGCCACAAAGAAAGGCATTTTTATAGTTCATAAAATCAACACAGTTTTTGACAACTCAAAACTAATTAAAAACCTAACAACTCACAAACAGATATGTAAACCTGTATGTTAATTTTAATTAAATTTGTTATATTTTAATTAAATAAAGTTTGCATCATCTATTTTATAACAGATTTCAAAATATCCTGCCCTGATAGCATTTTGACAACAAACTGGAGTAACTCTGTTACTAACAGAGATAGTAACAGTAATGATCACCAACATAACAATAGGGAAAGTTGATCAAGCAATTCAAAAACAAAAAAAAAATAAAATAGTTGGACCAGATGATACCTCTGGGAACAGCGTTACCAGAGACAGAAACAATTTAGATAACAGGTTTATTTAATAGAATTAGGAAAGTGTGACAAATTCGAGATGAATTGAGAAACTGTATATTAGTACCTGTGTACAAAAACGAAGGATATGTTAAATTCTATCAAACTACTTAGTCACACCACGTAAATATAGGATAGAATAATTATTATTGAAAGACGTTTAGCTTAAACAGATGTTATACTAAGACCTAGATATTCGTTCCGTGTAGCTGAACATGTGTTGCCCTCTTTAGGTTATTATATCATCACCATAAGATTTACACCATTGAAAACATTTATATAAATATGTTGTAATAAAATAAAAAATTTGTAATTAATCGTAATTATTGTCCGTATAAAATTATTTATATCGCTTCTCCGGAGCAATAATGACGTAAGTGCAATTTTTTGCAGTTTTGAGTTAAATGTATCAAAAAAGTCAGAACGTGCGATTCTATCGGATGGAACAATATCATAAAGGTAGTACATTTATTGGCTGCTGGGAAGTAGTTGTGTCGTTTCACTTCAACTTTTTTATTTTCGGTCATATTGTTGGAACGAAATCGCCGCATGTCAGTTGTTCATAGACTGTCGAACGGAACACTTCGTTTATATCTCTACAACGACATAAGTGTAGATTGTGACAAAATAAAATAAAGTTTTGGTGTAATCTCAGAGGAACATCGACGTAACGGACATTTGTGTCATTGTTCGCCTAGAATTTTATTTTCTAAAAAACACATTTACGTCGTTATGGTTTTTGAATAGTAGTTTTTAGTCACTTAACCAGTATTTATGTCATTTTTAACTCAAATAACATTGCAAATTTGTGTGAAATAGTGTGTGTAAAAACAGTCAATATAATAGATTTGTATTTCAGTTAAGAAATAAAACGCGAGTACAATCTTGAATAATGAAAAGGGCTGAGCTGATACTTCATTTAACCACTTACAATTTACAAGAAGAGAACAGTACTCCAGAGGAACCATCAGCATTGGAAGACAATAATATTTCAGAAACACTCAATGATGCGGTCATTTTAGCATAATTGCAGCCAGTGAATTTAAATACGAATTCCTCGAGTTCAGACCTAAATAATATGTTCCTACATAAGCCTTGTGAACTTAGACCAGGTAGATACTTTCCTTTTTTAATCAAAATTACTTTTATTGATTATTAATCACTTTTAGATAATCTACGTATTTCAAACAATTATGAAACACAACCCAGTGCGTCATATTCTGTAGAAGCCCACTCATCAACCAAGATCACTTTGAGAAAAATGTCTCGAACAGTCAATGATGAGCAACATTTCTCAGATGATGAGAACAGCTTAGTTAGAGAAGATAGTGACAATTATGTACCATCAGAAAATAAAATATCGTCGGAAAGTGAAACAAATTCGAACCCTACCATAAAAGAGAAAAAGAGACTATGAAGTCCATTTTCTGAAAATAAAATAAGTTCTCTGAATAATACAGAAAATTGTACGCTCATTAGAAAAGGTAAGAAGAGAGTAAGAAATCCAGAAAAATGGTGAAAAAATAAAGCTAAACTCCTTAAGAAATCAGGAAAGAGTTATGTTTCAAGAACTGAAAAAGTTGTTAATAAAAAAACAATGAGACAATACTTGTTCTAATTGCATTCAGAAGTGTTCAGAGAAGTTTAGCGAAGACCATAGAGCTAATTTTTTTCAGCAGTATTGGAATCTAGGATGACTGCAGAGGAAACGTGATTATTTGTCCTCTTGTATTGAACCACTTCAGTTGAGTTATCGCCGCATAACAACTATCCAAACACCTAGAAGACAGAACTGTGCTTTCTATCTACTTCACAATGGAAAACGAATGCGTGTATGCAAAACATACCCGATTAAAACTTTTATTATTAAGGAGAGAACAATTAGAACAATCATCCAATCAAAAGCTTCTGGGTTAACACATCAAGAGAGTTTATAGACGGTTTATCGATTGCAGAAATGCACAGATAATATAAAAAGAAACAAGACCCTTTGGGCCAGCCTACTGCAAACTATGATGTCTACACCCACATATTTATTAAACAATTCGATATTGATTTCTTTTTACCAAGAAAAGACCAAAGCGACTTTTGTGAATCATTTAAAATCGCGCCCGACGAAGAAAAAAAAAATACAAGGTCAGTATAAGTCACATCAAGAGGAAAAATAACTAAGTAGAACTGAGAAAGCTTCAGACAAAGAAAAAGCAAAAGAAGAAGGATCAAATACAGTTTTGGTAATGTACGACCTACAAGCTATCCTGCCAGTACCTATGGGACAAACATAAGCTTTTTACTATAAATCAAGATTAAATTGTTTTAATTTTACGATATCAGAAATAAGCAACGACAAGACATCCTGTTACTTCTGGCATGAAGGTCTGGGACAAAGAGGAGCAGTCGAAATTGATTCATGTGTCCTGACATTTATTGAAGAAATCACTAATATACATCCTCAATCTGAAATAATTCTTTATTCCGATAACTGCTGTGGTCAGCATAAAAACAGGTTTGTTCTTGCAATGTATTACTACGCAATTAAGATGTTTTAGTTAAATTCCATAACACACAAGTACCTCATCCGAAGTCATACACAGAACGAAGGTGATGTAGTGCACAATATCAAAAAAGCTATGAAGAGCTAAAAAGTCAAGACCGATATACGTTCCCGATCAAATAGTGTCGATTATTAGAATCGCAAAGAAAAAAGGAAACCCTCTTATAGTAAAAGAATGAAGTTAAAATGACTTCATCGATTTGAAAACGCTTGTTAACGACATCGGCTTCAACTGCCAGAAAAATATACACGGCGAACAAATAAAATTGTCATGATACTAAAATGATTCGATTTGCGAAGGGAAGTGATAGGTTCTTTTATAAAACCAGCTACAAACAGGTGTGTTGGAATCAGGCCTATGCTATAACCGTAAAAAGTAGACGAGTTGCAGGAACAAGAAATGTAGAAGATGTTAGAAAAAGACCTGCATATATTTCAAAAATTCCGATCCCTGAAAATAAGAAAAAGGACCTAGAAAATGTATTATCAAATATTACGGACCTACGGTGATGACAAATTTGGCCGATATGAGCGCTTTAAACGTGACGTGTATCCCCAGCCATCAGATGCACAGAACGAATAAATTCAGATGCCTTACATCTAATTTAATCTACTTAATAAAAACTCATTTATTATACTTACTATTTCACCAAGCATACTTAAAACTGATATTAATTTATTTAAAAAATCTTCTCCGGTATGGATCCTCTTTGAAGAAATATATGGAAGACTACTCCTAAAGTTTTCTAATTCCTTTAAAACCAATTGCTTATTTTCAAAAAAATAATCTTTTAGATACGTAGAGTACGGCAAAAGTTCAGATAAGAAATTTAATAAAAATGAAGATTTTTTACCAAGTTCATTCTTATTGGACCTAAAAAATATTTATATTAAACATTACAGAAATTCAATATTAATAATATTTTGTAGACATTTTGGGGTAATATTAATATTACTGTTATTTGAGTATAAGTTAAAGACTTCTTGTAAAATATTAGCTTTAAAAGCAATATCACAGAATCAATAACAATCAGAATGTCCACTCCCAGATGCCGCATTTGAAATTTGTCAGCACGCGATCGCCATATTTTAGACGGAAACCTATACTCGAATTGAGAAATTTGTGACAAGCTACGACAGAACTGTAATTAAAATTTTTAGAGATTAATAATTTAGTACATTTGAAATAATTTAATCTATTCTTCAACTAAAAGTACGAATAAAATAGGGCATATTGTGTCTATAGTTGCCGTAAACAAATTAAACCGGGTTAATTTTTCTATGCACACCAGATAAAATGCCACTGAACAGCACTGGTTCCGACTAAAACATGGCTGATTCCGTCTGCGCGTACTTATTTTTTCAAGTAGAGTGGGCATTCTGATTGTTAATTATTCTGTGGCAATATCGAGAATACTTAAAAAATAAATAACGGATAAGTCAAGTATGATGATGATAAACGAATCAGTGAATATCTGATAACCAATTTGGACTTCATAAGATTCATTCTCGTCTCTCATACCCTGTTTAAAATAGCTTCAGCTACTTCGTTTATTTAGGATCTTCTAGATCGATCTCTCTTCGAACTGTGGAGTTCCACTCTGTTATTTCTCAATGTTCTCTATCTTATAGCATCTTCTGAAGCGCTTTACCTCTACTACAACTACCTTACTGCTATGTATCTTGTTTATTAACCAATTTTGCGCACATTATGTCATAATACTCTACAAAACAATAATACGCCCAGTCTTAATATATGTTTCAGACACCTAAACTCTAACAAACAGTAATCAAAAAATGTTACGATGCTTCGAAAGAAAAATACTTAAACGAATCCATGGAGAGGTGAATGACAATGGAGTGAGGAGAAGACGATACAACTTAGAACTTTATAAAATATACCAGGAACCAGACATCGTAAAATATATTTAGATAGAACGTCTGAAGTGGGTAGCGCATGTAATGTAGATGGAACAAAACTACCCAGCTAGAAAAACGCTTCTTGATAGATCCATTGGTCAGAGAAGAAGCAGAAGACACAGAACAAGGTCCCTTGATAACATCAATAATGATATTAGGGAAATTCTTTAGGAGACTAGGACCCACACAGGGTTAAATGCCAGAATCATGATGATGACAATGTCATAATGTGTATTTGTTTTCATAAACCCGGGATTTAGGTGATCATCCAGCATTTTCTTTTATTCTGCGTTTTATGCTTAAGTTTTCTTGGTTAGTTTCAGTCATAAATTGTTTAATTACATTTCAAAGTTTTTCTTGGTTAGTTTCAGTCATACATTGTTTAATTACATTTCACGTTAACATTTCCTTCGTTGGTACTTTTGATTGGGCATTCGTGTAACTTCTTTTTTGCTTTCCTAGTTGTCTAGTACGGACGTAATAATATTACTAATGGTTTATTTACTTTTTACGTATTTGTGATCTATCCTACAGCAGATAAAAAAGGTTTGCAATAAGTTGGTTTTCTTCCTGATAATACTGCACCAGCCTACCACTCTTTTCATTCAGTACACCAAGTTCGTTGTTACCAACTTTATCTTCTCTCTGTGTTTTTCCGACTTCTGCATTGAAGTCTCCTGGGAATTATCCCTTTTTGTCTTCCGTTATTATGTTAACGTCGGATTTGTTAACTAGTGTCATCTGAGTTGATTTGGTTATATAATAATTCTACGTCTTCGTAAGGGTACACATTGCAGCGTAAGTCTGAATCATATTATTATATAGTGCGTAAGTATATTGGAGCAACAACTTTGATCCTCCTTTTGACCTTGTCGTTGACTATGATGGTAGTACCGTTATGGTGGTTGTTGCCGTGGTTACCTGAGTTTCTACTTGGACTTGAATTGAATTTGTCCATCGCATTTCAGTAACCCCTAGGATTTCGATATTCAACTTTTTGGAAGCGTAGGTTTCTTAACGCGGACTACAGAGGAGCGGTTGATCCCAAAGAGGTGTGAAAAAATAAAGACAAAAGAAATGCGATGAAACGACAGATCGTTTGATCACACACTACGTGGGATAGAAATCGCAGTAGCTTGCATATTTCTTAGTAACATAAAATAAATCAAACTGAATTACAAGAAACTGAAAAGAAATACTTAAATAAAATAAAATTTATAAAAAAAAATAACATAAATCGAATGGTATCGAATCGAATGAAATTGAATCGAAGCGAATGGAATCGAATCGATTCGAATGAAATGGAATCGAATTAAATCTAATGGAATTGAATTGAATGCAATTGAATCGAATGAAATCGAATGGAATCGAACTGAAACGAATTCAATCGAAGTGAATCTATTGAAACGAACTGAATTCAATTAAAATTAAATAAAATTAAAAACCCTTGCACCGTGCGTAGACGATAAGAAAGCTATGCTTCTTCTCCTCGGTCACTCCCGTAGTACCACATCCCGTTTGTTATGAACTTTACAATATTGTGAATTTTTACAGTTTCAAATACAGATTTTAGATTCCATGTCGCTATTCTCCTCATGACTAACCGAAGATTATTATCGTCTCTGGTCATCTAAGGCCTATTGGGAGCTTTAGGATTTCACAGATAATTTGTACTGAGATGTTTAATGATGTATTTTTCCGTTGCTTTCCTCATCGCTGTATCATTAGGTACAGGTTTAATAAATGGTTTTCGTTTAATTAAATTTCTTCCATTAGTTGCAAGCCAGTAATAGCTTAGACGCAGTATGACAGATGGTTAAATCAGTAAGTGATTACCATTTGGGACTTAAGAGAAGTATTCTTCAATAGCTTTCATGCACTAATGCCTTAATGACATATTTGCTACCCATGTCATGTACACACTTGATCAGCTGATGTTTTTTTGGTTAAACCTTTTTTACACCTGCCCTATATATCAATATTAGTTTCCTTATCAGCCGTTCAGTCGCGCCGTGTCGAGATTGAAAGTCTGTCTTCTGTGAAATACTGAAAACCCTATGCGCATTTCAGAATAAGGAACAGCAGATTTACAATATTCAAGTGGAACTTATTTAGATTCATGTTGATAACATTTTCGCTCAATAAGTTTACCAATTATCTACCAGTTTATACTTTACAATAATTACATCGAAATTAAGCAGAGAACAAAGATTTCTAAATATGAAAAAATTTTATAACCTGTAACAGTTCCATTTTTATATTTAAAATTTAAGAAAAAATTATGAAAAAAAAAACATATTTGAAAATATGTCATGTGAAGGCTTTTGTGTTAATTTTAATTCAACAAAACCTTGCATATATAATTTGTATTTTAATATTAACAAAAACATACCCGTCAAATTCTGAAACACAATTTATTCTCTTCAGATAAACAGAGTCGGCCTCTAAGATATCTTCCGTTCGAAGATTCCTTTTAATTTCATGCAACAGAATATATAAATCATCTAATAACTGCAAAGTTGTGCACACTATCTGAAATATATAATAAAAATAATTTAATTAAATAACAAATATCTCATTAACAATTAAATAATAACTTTCGCCTACAAACATATAGAATTACTGTTGCCAGGGCCAGGGCTACAATTAGACCGTTGTAACTCATGACAATACACATTAATTACAAAATTATAAATCATGCTATTTTCGTTTATTGCACAACACAAGTTTTATCATTAATACCCAAAAATCTGCATCTTGCGCCAACTGATTCGGTGTCTTACATATTGTTTTAAATGATATAAGCATCAACCGAACCCAACGTTTCTCTTTTCTCTAGACCTTCACTCCAGTAAAATTTACTTGCTGTCTTTATTATTCTACCCATCGAACGAATTTAGTCCAGTTGTCTGTCGGAGATTTAACCTCTAAAAACGAGACGAAAACGACGTAACGCGTCGAAAAGATTATTGAATAGATTCTAATCCCGCAGCAAGCCGCATTCAGACCCGGAAAATAATGTACTGTACAAGCAATTACACTCACTGAGTACATAGAGAATGGCTGCGAGCAAAAACGGATTACGGGTGTGACATTGATTGATTTGTCGGCGGCTTATGCCATCTTAAACCACAACGTGCTCTTATCAAAGATCTTCAAATCCACTAGAGACATTAATCTAATAAAAAGAGGTTAATCTTTGTAAATGGGTATATTTATTTAAAAAACCCTTAAAAGGGCCACATCAATAAAACAAACGTTTTCGGACCACACAGTCCATCATCAGGTTATTAAAATCGAAAATGCTAGGTCATAATGCCTGAGCCACCAAAATATTAGGGTAAAAACCCTTTAAATTACATTTAGTTATGAAATTTTGTACATTGTGTTATAAAATAACTGTGATGTTCAATATTAAATTAAATTTGACTAAAGGTAACACATGGCTCAATTGGGTTCCAGAGCCGGGTGAGAGGGTACCTCTGCACTCGGAGAACAACGTGGAACTCAGAACAAAAGTACATCAGAAAACATAACGTCTTCTAATTGGATAATATTCTTATCCAACATGTCCATCATTTGCTCACAAAAAAATGTTCTCCTATCAAAATCGTCTTCCATGAGCTCCTGAATAGGTATAATCTTATAGGGATGTAATTTATTTTCTTTTAATATGTTTACTATCGATGTATGGCTAGCATTGAATGTAGTGGATGCCTGTTTACTCGATGTATGTGGATTTTCCTGAAACTCAAGCAACACATCTAATTTGAGTTCATCACGCAGTGCATTGGCAGCTGCTTTTTTTATCTGCCTTACATTACTAAACTCGCGAAACTGCTTCTCTATTTTACTTATTGTTCCTTGGGATATAGGCGGTAAATTAGGAAATTTCTCATGAAATAGGCGAGTTACTTCCTGTTGTGTTCGGGTATCTCCGTATTTTTCAGAATTGAATTGAACGAACTTTTTACTTAAATTAAAATACTGACAACTTAAATAAAACAATTTACTAATTCGTGTTAAAATAACGTTGCCACATAAATTCTTTAAAGTTTTTTAATGTTTACCATTTAAAAACCACATTGCTATGATTTTGTTCACTTTCTCATTATCAAGACCTAAACGGGAAATAAGTTTTGAGTATATTTTAGCGAATTTCGGTAACCACATGATTTTATATTATATTTTATCTTAATTAATCTTAATAAACTTGAAAGCGACAACATTTTTGAATGGAGAATGAAAAGACCTTTCAAACGATATATCACAAGCTTATACTTCCTATTTTAAAAATTGGGGGTTGTACCTGTCATTCCAAGGGGGTTGAAGGTAGGGGTTGCATTTTCACGTTAAAGAATGTCAAGTTATAATTTAAATTTGACGTGTTTCGGGATTTTTTATAAATATGTACAGTAACTTAAATAATGAATTTATTCCATTTGGCTTTTACACACTATATATATATATATATATATATATATATATATATATATATATATATATATATATATATATATATATATATATATATATATATATATATATATATATATATATATATATATATATATATATATATATATATATATATATATATATATATATATATATATATATATGTTGATAATATTTATCTGGCTAGAAGTTGTCGCTTTCTTTTCTTTAGTATTGCATCGAGAAGGAATAAATATATCCAAACTGAAATCCACATGGAATCTACGTTCCTGTAGTTGGCTGTATACCATATATTAAAACATTTATTAAAATCCTTTGTAGAAGGTATATATTTAAAAAACCCAATCGGGCTATGTTAGACAAAACGTTTTCGGAATCCATATTCCATTATCAGTGTCTAGGTGTACATGAATGTAGTCACTAAATATGTGGGTAAAAACTCGTTAAAAATTATTTAGTTAAATTTAGTTTACATTCTTTCTTATAAAATATTAAGATGTTAAAGTTAACGTTAGATTTGGTAACATGGCGACATATGACTCCACGTGACGTTGCTAGTCCTGAGACGTCCTGAGATAAAGTCCTCGTAGACACACCGTCTCAGAACTAGCAACTTCACGTGGAGTCATATGTCGCCATGTTACCAAATCTAACGGTAACTTTAACATCTTAATATTTTATAAGAAATAATGTAAACTAAATAATTTTTAACGGGTTTTTACCCACATATTTAGTGGCTACATTCATGTATCCTTCCTCTATATCCTTCCTTCCTCTCAATCGAGAGGAAGGATACTACTTGTCTCCCATCTGGAATCTCAGTCTAGAGCCTCCGTCCGGTCCTGCTACCACGATGCAGCCACATGATTGGCCAGCGCCAGCGCTTCTTGACGTTCGCGCCACGGAATGTGCCGATACGTCCCGACACGACAGGTCACCGCGACTATAAATAGAGCGGTAGCGGAGTAATCGTCGGCAGCAACAAGCTGAATAGTTAGTAGCGGAAGCAAGTTAGAAGCAACAGTTTGCATCGTGAATTCATAGTGAACGGTTGTTTTCTCGTTTTTAGGTACCCGTTCGTTCTATAGCATAGGATCAGTTGACAGCCATAGGCATCGTCGGTAAGCTGATCGCTTGGACGAACGTTACGCCGAGAGATAAGAAGACAATAGACAGGCGATAAGAAGCGACAACAATAGAACAATAGAACCATTGTTCATTGTTCTACCCCCATTGTTCGACTTAACGGTTTTTCTAAAAACCGTTAGGGCTCATAGGGCTGTTATTGTGTTGGTTGGGTGCTCCCGTCTGCTGTTTCGGAGATTCTGCTGGTCACGGTGAAGGCTAGGTGGATGGTATTGTAAGAGCCATCCGCGGCCGTAGCCGGGGCTTTCAGCCTCCGTTAGGGCGATAGGACGACCAAGTCCAGCATCGTAGCGGTTCTCTGAAATAATTTTTAGGTACATAAAAGAAAACATAGGAAAATAAAAAACCAGTCGAGATTCAATAAGTGCTGCATTTTTTCATCTGGGGCAGTTCGTCTTATACGCTCTATTAGCTAATTGGTAACTGGTGAAAGCATAGTAGGTGGTTGCTGTAAGAAAAGGCCACCTGCGTACGCTGTAGCCGGTTCTCTCTGGTTACTAGTTGAGTGTTGACTAGCTGGCCTAGTGTTAAGAGCGGTACTTGGGTCACGAACTGACTCCATTGGAATTCCATATAGTTACTAATTGTAATTAGTAACTTGAGGAAAACTTGATAGGAAGTTTCAATTAGTATACATACAAACTTCATTAGTATACAAGGAAGTGCATCGGGGGACCGACAGCTTATTTCATAGTAAGCATAGTCCGGCGACCCGCCATCCTATACATTGCACAGCGTATAGGAAAAAGGGTGTCTTCTGGATGTACGCCTAGCAAACCACTTTAGTAATGCCGCGCTCGACCCGCTCAAATAGGTCAAAGCCGCGTCCTGCTGAACCTCCTGACCCTCCTCCCGTACATAATCATTCAATGACATCCGATATCAGCAACGACACAACTCATGCTAATTCACCTGACTTTCCACCATTACCCCAAAAACCAATATCACCGATTCCTATTTCACCAACAAATCAATACATATTACCGACGCCTCACCTACAATATCCCTACACTACATATTCCTGATACCAACGACACCACTCCGAAGATGAACGTCGCCACTGACAGTTTCGTCGAGGACCTGGTGACTACCCTCCCCATAGACCAAATCGACCGGTTGATCGCGCGTTTGCAGCTGTCCCGGTCCTCACTTATCGCCAATCCTTCATCAACACCAACAAACACCTTAGCACACCAACATCAGCAAACATCTACCACACATACTACCAATATACTAACTACACCTACACCACAACTCACACCGCAAATTAGTACACATACAAACACTTCCATCCCTCAACAAATCCCTTCCTACGCTACCGCAGCGCACTCTCCTAAACCACAGCATCCACAAACAACTTCCCAACAACCAAAACACTTCAACTACCTTATAACAAATATCCCTCTGGAGAAATCCACTCAACGCGATTTTTTCAGAATCCTCAATACCAGAGAACTACTTTTGAACCAAATCACCACTATCAAAGTCCTACCCACCGGAACCGCACACCTTACCACACCTCACCCAATAAATCACGTTGAAGTCCAACGCCGACTCCGTGATGCTGTAGGGGATCCTAAAATCCAGATCTCCCCTAAGCACAATCCAAATCCTTCAACCACTAAAAATACCACTACCCGTACCCACAATCCCGGTTATATGGTGGTCGTCAAGGGAGTTGACAGAATCTACTCTGACGCCGAACTAACCATCCTGTTCACACAACTAAACATACCTGTCATACGTCTCTGGCGCATCATCTCCAGAGAGAACAAACCCACCACTTATGTCAAGTTGATCACCTCAAGTGAATCAAAATACACGGAGATGCTGACCAGGGGCGTGTACTTTGACGGCCTCCGTATGACTGCGGAACTACCTTTTAACTCCAACCCCGTTCCTCCTGTACCCAAGTACTGCGCCAAATG